AAATTAGCGGTGCTGGTGCAGTAAGCGGACGGGAAGAGGAATTAACCTTGCACAGGTCGACCGACTGCATCGTTTCGAAAGAGCTCGCCTCTTCCTCAGATAGCGATCTTCTCAGGTACACGGAAGGAAAAATCTGGATATATATGTAACGCAATTTTTTTACTAGGTTACATAAAGCGCTTCTTTTATCACACAATTAAAATTTTTTTTTATTTCTCACGATATATAAAAATGTCTCTAAAGGTTTATATTTTTATGTTTTTCACTGCTTTTACATTTCGACATCAATACGTCAATCTTGTGCTTGAAGGTCGGCACCACCGTGGGCGGTTGCTCATAGAAACCAGAAGTTCCGCTTCTCGCCAGAAAAGGAGAAAGAACGTGAGAGGACGGAGAAACAGCAATACCAGCAGCATCATCCACGAGAAACGACGCACGATCGCGATCGCGATCGCGAACGCGAACGCGATCGCGAACGCGAACGCGAACGCGATCGCGAACAGCAATCCTATCTCACCGAGAAGGAGAAGGACTCGAGCGGTCTGTCAGACTCCAGCAAGACAATCTCGAGTCAGGAAGAGGAAAAACCGACGACGAAGGAGGACCGAGAGGCGAAAAAGACACGCGTCAAGCAAAGTCTGATGAAGCGGGCGCGCTCGGTAGCGATCTTTTCGCTGAAGTTAAAGGAACGCCGCGCACGGGAGGCCGAGCTTAAGGCTAAGGAAGCGGAAAGGGAAGCTAGGTGGCAACAACCGCAATCCTGCGTCGGCGGCGAGCTCTCGTGCATCCCCATAGAAAAGCTTATTTCCGTGGACGACATTGCGTCCATGGAAATGCGTCGGATGAATCATTAGCCGCTTGACTTGTCTTTCTCACACATTTTCATTTTCGCGCTACGTAGAGAGCCGTTCGTGTGCCGCGACACGTGAATGCATCGATATCTTGTCAACTTGATGGCAAAATTTAGACGCGAGAAAAAAATCGTGGCGGAGATAGAGGAGACAATTTGGTCGCAAAGCAGAAACGCGCGATCGGAAG